TCGACTCTACGTGCACATTTTCTATTCATTCGATTGTATTCTAAATAGAAATAGAATTGAAGAGGTATCGATTTGAGATTGAAAAGGGTGCATATCGCATGATGACCAAAAAAGTGAGACCTCGTGTAGTGCGTCGTCCAGTCTGAATGATCAGTCAGCGGACCTGTCAAAGCACTGTGTTCAAAGATTGATAGCAGCTTTTTTTACTCGGTGTTTTCCCATTCCCACATGATCTTATTCGCCTCTGATCATAGTTTTTTCCCTCGAAGATAGTCCCTTTTTTCTTTATCCACATGCTCCAGTTTCCGCGTTGAGCTCATATCTGCCCTTGATGCCAGAAAAAGATGAAAATTTACATTTTTTTGGAATGCGCAACGCATTTCACTTCCGCACAGAGCCATGCCGAAAACATAGTTTCTTCCAGAAATTCCTCAACTTTTTCCCCTAAAAAATAGCCGTCGAGCCATGGGAGGGGTATATAGCGCTAAAACGCACCTAATACAGGAGAATCCGAGGAAAGTCAACGACCATAACATTTTTGACATCTGGATTTGAACTTGTAAGGGTTGTAGTACTGAAACCATTTTATGACACTTTCAGAGCTATGTGCTCCCTCCCTCCCGAAGTGTAGTTATTTTACAGTTTTGGGATTTTTTTATTTTTAACTGCTCGCTGTTGGAAGTTCTATGCGCTCCAGTTCGAGGTATGTTGATGTTTTCACAGCCTCATGACTGAAGTGAAGCAATCGGAGCTTTTCAATGAATGATAAATTTGATGAAGAAGACTACATGCAATCTTTTTCGTTCCATCACACCGCGCGTTTGACAATACATGCATATGTATGTTGGCACCGGGTGACACGAGGAATTCAGTAGGCAGCGCCGTATTGTTTCAGAAAATTTTCCGATCGCGAAAATTGATAGCAGAGCTTCTCCGAACTGCTTGTTCTGGGTTGTACTGAGCCTTTCTCAGATCGTTGAAAGGCAACTTTTCCACTTCTTGCATTAATGTGATGCTCTGATACTGTATGTACAAATTTTTCTTCAGATACTCTTTAGCTCTTTATTTCTGTGCTGTGATCAGGAAAAGCCATATCGGCTTTGAGCTTAGGTTGATATAATAACGTCGTTCGATAACTGTTGCCAGTTATGGAATGACATTATCATATCACCCTCAAGACCTTCAAGCTATTTCGCAGTAGGCTTCCGAATCAGATGTCCCATCCAAGGAAGGGTACTTGAGTAAAAGTTTATGTGGATGAAAGTTAGAGAAGCTTTCTGCAGATTTAGTTCTGCAGATCACTGAATGAGGGAAAGGGTTTTGTAGAGTGGAAGATGTGGTGAAAAGACGAAGGAGGTCTTGCAGAGAGAGGGAGAGGGCAAGGAAGCCCATTCCGGCTTAGGCGGGCATTGCAGGCCTTTTTGAGACGACTTCACCTGGTAAACGTAGTGGAGGCCGGATCGCTCCTTTCTGTTGAGTATCATCTCAGTAATATTCTACACAGCCTCCATGTTCGCCTTTCTTGTAACCTGGGCATTTCTTATAGACTCAATGTTTCTTTACTATGCCGTACAGGTTTTTATGGTGGAAGTGTTTATTTTGCCTGACGTTTCGACGGTATCGTCGTTATCAAAGGCCTGAAAGCATATCGAAACTCATGAAAGCTATCGATCCTGTTCAACCTAAGCCCGTTCTTAACTAGTTGCAACCCAGACCAAGAAACTACCAACGAAAGGGAACTCAAAACTTCAGGTTACCTTTCCACTCCCACCAGCACCAACGATCTGCTCGATTTCGACACAGTGGAGCAAGTGAGACTGACCGAGCACTGCTACAGGATGATAGTATGCGTACGCACGTGCAGTGCATCATGTTCTCACTGTTAAAGCTCACACAGTGGAATATAGGGCAAGAAATCGGCCGTTATTGAGATGCACTCATTCCTGTTATTCATACATGGATTACGGTGCCTAATCCAGAACGCCTCAAGGGTTTTCCGGGCACCAACATCGTTTTCGTAGGCCAATATTATGCACTTAACGCTAAAATCACAGCCACCATGGTGTTCTCTTCTATGCCTGCCGAGCGGTGCAATGCAATATTCTACACAGCATATCGCAGAGATTGGCAGGGCGTGGCGCGTTCATTTGGAAGAGTCGTAGGATGTATTTTTTGTGGAATATTTTCATTCGAGACAATTTTCATCATGAGTTGTGCAGGACAGAGTTATGATTACAATTATGCTGAAACTGCAGTATCTCTCCAAAAGCGCAGCCGCCGAAGAAGAAGGCTGCTGTACTTGTGATTTACTCGTTGTCTGTCTCAGAGAAGAGAAGGAAGCCGAAAGCCGAATGGTAAGTAAGAAAGCGAAAAAAGGTGAAGAAGAGATTCTAGAGCTGCTTCTGCCTTTGACACCTAAGAAAATCGTTTCGTATTTTCTACAGTCTCGAGGTTGAGGGGATAAGTTTGATACACTAACAAACAGCAAAAGACCAGGGCTTTATTGATGGCCGATCATGTGTGAGAGAGATTTACCATCTCATGCTTATGTGCACGATTGAGTCAGACAATATGGACAATATTGTCCATTTAACGGGCCACGGTCCTCGTCCTTTCATCAACGGCAGATCAATGAGCAGAGCCGTACATAATTAAGTGACTCGCACTAAGGACGCCGTTTGCTTTTTGCGCCTGGCCATCAACGAGGCCCTTTTGTTGAACATTTTCGCCCGTTTTCATATCTATTACGATACTTTTCTGTGGTCGAAATCGGTCATTTTCTATGTGATTTTTTGTATAATTGTCCATCTTTGATTGCGATCGTTCGATATAACGTGGTGTTGTCGGAATGTTTCATTTTTTATGAGGCGCCATTATTTGTTTTTGTTTGATTTTGAAAATAGCGCGTAAACTCGTCCGTTTCATGATTAATTTTGGTCTATGTATCACTTTTTGTCCAACGGTTTCTCATGGTTCTGGCATTTTCGCGCTTGTTGTTTTTCTTGAGAATGTTTCGTGTGAACTTCTTTCGTACAATGACTAATGCTGGCTCTATTTAGAAACTGTGATGACTTTTGCCTTCTAGTGGATATTCTGAAATAGTCCTAGTGAAACGACGAGGAAACCATGGTCGGCTATAACCCTGAACCGATCAATGGAAAAGAGCTGTCCTCGGCTGAGTACAGGTTGGAACTGCTTCTTATGAGGTCTGAATTTTAGTTAGATAAGTTGAACTACGCATCAAAAAACTACTTCATACAAATCTGGATGATAAATGTTTTCTTTATGGACTGATAGTGAAGATCAACTGGCACGTTCCAACCAC